CGACTTTTATAATCCCAGTATTATTCCAATTTTGTTGTAATTAAAAAGTCGGATACTTTGCTAATTCCGTTATTGGTAATCACTACAAATATTCAGGAAAAAAATATATAAATAAAACTAACGGAATTCTCTGTTTCAGATGGAACGCGACCGCCGCAGACACCTGCAGAGAGAGAAACATGAACCTGAGGAGCTTCGCGATGCTCTTGCCTTGCGGAATATCCCTCTTCTCCGGTGTCGAGTTCGTGTGCTGCCCGAAACACCTGAAAGGTACGTAACGTACGTACATTCTCATATCATCATTCATTCATTCATCGACTGGCATGTATTGGAAGCGAATTCGTTTGCCTGTTAACCCTTTTCTTCTTAGTACCTTCGATTCAGCATATTCGACCGAAATTAATTTTTCATTTGCTTCTCGACATCGTTAAACGAATCGATATAAGAGGTAGTGATTTAATCCTAAAGAGCACCATTGAATTTCATGCCATCGAATCACAGTGAAAAGCATATCCACATTTGTTTTCCCTGTGCTTGCATACCAAAATTCAAATATCCATCTGATTAATTGAATACGATACGATGGGACAAGTCCTGGAGGGAAAGGGTTAACAGATGTCTCGAGGAGCTGCATGAATGAAAAGTGTAGCATGAGAACGCACCCTGTCACGAGTTTAACGCCACCTTTTCAAGTAGAATTCTGATACTAAAAATATTGTAAATTATTTAAATAGAATTTTTAAATGTTTAAAATTATACGTAAACACAATTTTTGTGCCATTCGCAGGCTTTCAGACTCGGTCAAGTATATTCTCGTTATTAGACTGCGGATCTTTATGCAAAATAAAATGATTGCAAACGTACCTACAAGAATCGAACCTAAGTTGGAATTTATTTTACTCTGCAAATGCTGTAATATGAACTTTCAATATTTTTTTGTTTTTTATAGTATTGCATAATGCGTGCATTTTGTAGTTTCCTGCACATTTAAATTTCATAGAAATTCACAGTCTACTCGTTACCAATCGTATCTCTCGATGAGCCAAGTTTCTAATCGAGGTAACAATTTTTGTCTCGCCATGAAAATTTTTGTTTTATCATGCGCTATTAGGTTTTCCAATGATAGGTTTTCCAACACTTGACGCACCCTAATGTAACACACCCTAATATTTTATATCTTTACGTGTTAGTCATAGATACATAAAATCCGTAATCTGACGTATTAAAATTGATCAAAAATATTAAATATTAAACAAACGCCAAAGGTGTCGACCTTCTTCACACACTAAAGGTGGTTACCTCTGTAAGTGTTCGTATGCCGAGTTTCCAGGTCGGCATTTATCGAGGTAAAAGAAACAACTAGGCGCCATTGCAATCGAATCCGGACGAAGGAAACGGTGGAGAAAAAAAAAACACGTGGCTCGATATTCGCGTCGTAAATAATGTACTTTGAAACGGTCTTTGTCATTTCGCGCCAGTACACGTTCTAATCGACTCCTTTTTTTTTCCACACGTCGATTATACATTCTAGGATCCATCCAGTCGTATAATACCATTGTAACGTTTCAACGGTTCCCCTCATTGTTCCATTAATCATCGATGTATGGCTTCAATGAAGTCACAAAGAGAGACTCGCGTTTCGTACGGTACCTCCGATGCGTTCGTTATTAACACATCGCTAACCGATCTGGTGGAGCCACAATGGCTGTTATACATCTGTGAACACGTTACCAGTGCAGGTATTATCACTCGGCCGAGAATATGTCTAAACGTAATCGCTGAGTTTAATTACAGAATACTGTTTTCTTATTTTTTGTTTTTAGATCGAGAGAGTAGCTCAAGGAAAACGTGGAGATGTTTCTCGAAGAGTGACGAAGTAATTATGAACACGTTGGTTGGCAAACCGATTCGCCCGACAATGTCTGCAGGCCTAAAATTTTGTCTCGAAACGATCAGAGACTATAGAATCTAACATTTGTCGTATTACTTATTTCTGTATTCTCATAAAAATTTACGAATTCTATCCCAATTTGATTTCGTCAACACTTAGCTATTAAAACGAATTGTTGAAGTTCCTTAGCGAAAAGCTCTGTCACCCATATATGGGTGACTTGGCGGCCAACGTGTTAAATAGTAAATAATTTGTCTGAGATTGGAAGAATTAAGGATAGCACAGGGAAAACGTGGAAATTTGTTCAAAAAGAGATGAAATGGTACTCGTGTATTTATATTCTTGGTATTGTTTATTACTCGAACCGAGAGTAGCTATAAATTTGACTACCATACAGTAAAAAATTTGTAATTGGAAGATTGGCATAGGAAAAACGCGGAAATTTGTTCAAAAAGATGTGAAAAGTTGGAAGTCAAGTATTAAAACGGTACGCATGAATGTATATTCACGCTGTCGTTTATTATGTAACGTATGCTTCTTTTATCTGCAAGTAAGGTGCAGTAGATAGTTTGGGCGTGAAGACCCTCAAGGCGCAAATGATCCGTTCAACGTGTGCGTGACACACGGTATATGTATGCAGGGTGCCGTAGCTCAGTGGTGCTCAAACTTAGCCTTTCCACTGTCTCCTCGATAAATAATCTTTCGATGAAATCCTTGATTGAATTACGATTAAATTCTTATTATTTTAGTAAACTTTAAAAAATGTTTAAACATAAAATCTATTCACAAAATAATTCACAAGAATGGATATATAAAATACATTCAAAATACATTTATTGAATAATACAAACATTACAAAGTCACATCGTAATAAATTTACTTTTATTGAATAATATTTAAAGAAAGCTATCCCATTACAAAGTCTCGTTACAAAACAAGAACTTTTATTATGCTCCACAGAAGCAGAGCGAAAAAGTGATGAATATTAAAAGCTTGAAACGTTGATGAAATTATAAAACCAGCAGAGATTATCCATGATAATGGAGGAAACATTATCACGAATAAAACAGCGAAATGAACCACACACACCTTCCACCACAAAAAAAAAAAAAAAGATTTATTTAATCCTCTATGGATTTATTATAAAATAATTTCACCTTTCTCGCAAAATGATCTGTTCGTCTTAATTATGTAATATCTTTGATAACCAACATCAATGTCGATAACGTTTGGCAGCACCATCAACCTGAAACATCAAAGTGAACGCCTCGCAAGGTGTCTGCAGAAACAAAAATTCGGTCCGTAGAAGGTTAAAAAATTTTAGAAATTTTCTCAGACATTTTCTTCGCAATTTTTCGCAATCATTCTTCCCTTTAACGCTCGAGTGTTTAAGGCTACAAAAAGCCAGGTATAATCGTGAAGAATCGAGAGCATCTTTCACCGCGGATAATCTAGATTCTACCAATTCCTCGGTACCGTAGAAAAATGTCCTCTCGTTTGTGCTATTTCCAATCGACTGTCGCCAATCCTCGAAGAGCGAGGGTGCATTAAGAAAGTGGGTATATTTCGATTCTCCCTTCCTAGCTTCTGGCAGCAGTTCACCCTCGTTGCTTCTGTCCTGCTCGCTCGTGCAATCAATAACGACCCGTCGACATTCTCCGACGACTGCGCAACGTAACGTTATGGCTTTCCCCCGTTCCTGCGCATCTTTTCTTGTCAATGGACGCGATGGGCAATACTTTACAGACGTGTCCAAATTAACCATCGCGCTCTCAAGCCTTTTTCCCTTACGTGGACTATGTAGAAATTGGGGAGAGGGAGACATTTTAAATTCGAGTAATAAGACAAATAATTATAGTTCCTATCTTGACTATTTCATGGCAATACTGGGCTCAACATTCAGGATGCCACATTATTCCCGAAGGGGGTTGTACACGTTTAATAAGAGTATGTGTTATTGTAGTTTCTCTTTTTTGGTATTATATAGTAACAATGTTTTCGGTATTTAGGGTGGCTCATAATTCACGAAGGGAGTTATAATATATGTAACAGGAATCTTTAATGCTGGTTTCTATTTTTTGTATTCTGTAGTAGCAGTGTTTTTGATATTCAGGGTGTCCTATAATTCACGAAGGAGGTTGTACTAATTTAAGAAGAGTCTCTAAGGCAAGTTCCTTGTTTTAGTATTTTGTATTTTACTCAGTCCTCTTCCTCCTGGACAAGTATTGTCCACTTGATTACTTCATTAGTCTCGTCGTCAGAATTCATTTCACCGCGTCTGTGTACGCGCAGGTGATAAAAACGCAACCCCGATACACTTGTCCGAGGGGTTGTACGGCATCCAGTTCGCAGTATATTCGATAGCGTTTCTGCGTAGCTCAGAATCAATAGGAATCACCGATGAATCACCGACAGCGTTACGACCACCCTCGCGCTCGACCAGACGCCACGCATGCTCCCCCATTTTATTCGTCTAACTTTTGCTAATACATTGGCGAAGAGAGCGCCCCTCGGTCTGCTTCAATGTTCCAGAAAATTAGCAGAAGAAACTACCCCGGCGCGTGTCTCTCGTGTGTCTCGAAATTGGAAAGCTTCTATTACCGTGTCTTCGACATCCTCCTTCCTCCACGTCTTAAAAGCTAACCCAGACCCTTTTGTTTTCAATTTCTTAGGTGTAGAAATTAATTGTGCACCTCTGGGATCGAATCATTCGTAACTCTACTGAAACGTAATTCTTCTAATCTAATTCTGTCTTTCGTTTTCAATTTCTTAGGCGTAGAGATTAAATTCTGCGCCTTTACTTGATAATTGGAATCAGACTGCAGATATTTATGCGCTATGTGACAAACGAAGGCATGGAGAAATGTATCAAAACGCGCACAAATACTGAAATATGCAATCAATTTTCTGTATCTATCAAAATGCGAATTTGGATGATCATGGTACTTGTAGAAGAATATTAATAAGCAAGCTATGTATATCGTCTGCTAAAATAAGTGTAATGTCCATCGGACTTTGAAGATTAGTATTTTAATTGTACCAATATGTATGTATCCGCTTGAAATAGAGATACAGATGATTGAATGTAAATCCACAGAATTTCTACGCTTGATATCTCAAAGCTAGAAGAACAACAGTTTCGTGAAATAATAAAGCAACGATCAGAAGGAATTCTGGGACATCAGGGTTTTTCCGTTCCCCCTGAATAAATTAATAACGTGAAAAAACAAGTACGCGTTTCAATTCTGACATCCACCCTGCGACACGCAAACTAACCCCGTTTGAATTGGGCACACCGTCCACGTTCCCGTGTTTATTCCAAGTCTTCGCTAATAAACTGTTTGTTTGCCCTAGGAGGTACTCGCCGTTACATTTTGTGTCTGCAACGTTATTTTTACGCGCCAGCTAAGCTTTAACGTTGCGCCGTACGGTTTTCAGCCTGACGATTTGTACAGATGACCGAGCAAAGCCTTCCTCCGCCTCCGTCGCCGTTGAAAGTGTACGTGGGAAGCCCCTTCGTGGCTGCTTCCGTTCCTTTCGTATCGTCGATCAAATCTTGATATCAGAGGGTGCCCTTACGCTGGTGAAACCTCCGTGTTCTTCGGGTTCTCAAAGCTTCCCGCGCGTATTCAAAGATTATATTGTTACTTTGATTTCTAAAATTATTGCCGTTCGTTTAGAAATATATATTAAGGCCGATCGCACACGGCGCAACCGATCAGTTTCAAACCATTCTAAAACTAGTATGCAACTAGTTTCAGCAACCGTGGATCTAGGTAAAATAAAGATAGCGAAGTAGGTAAAATAAAGAGTGTAAACGGTTTGCAACACTAATTTCAAATCGGTTGCGCCGTGTGCGATCGGTCTAAGAGATTGTTTATATAATATCAAGGATTCACTTTGCCTTTGTTCGGGACCTTTCGACCGATAATTTTGCCGAACTCGACCGTTTCGGTGATTACCGAAAGAGAACGAATTTAAATAGTCAGTCGTCGTAGAACCGTGGGCTCGAGTGATCGCTTCGCTCGAACGCGTGTATTTTAATTATCGCCTCATAAAACTTGAGTGTTTTGCAATTCCGTCAAATTCGTCGACGTGTTAACCCTTTATAGTTGATTGGTACTCCTCGTTACCGCTAAAGAAAGGGTGGGAATTTTGTATCTTTAACACGTTGAACGCCACGTCACCTATATATGGATGACAGAGCTTATCACTGAGGAACTTCAACGATTAATTTTAAGGACTGAGTGTTAATGAAAACGAATCTGGATAGAATTCGTAAATTTTTACAGGGATATAAAAATTGGTATTACGACAAATGATAGATTCTATAATTCCCAATAGTCTCGAAGCAAAATTTTAGTCTTGCACACATTTCCGTGCGAATCAGTGTGGCAATCAACGTGTTAAGTTTATGGTATACAACACCCAAGGAATCCTGCCCTATAAAGGGTTAAAGGTTCCAACGAGAGTTTCACCTCCATACAACTACTCGCGTGCACTTTGACGTAATACGTCTTCCGGTTCCCCCCATCGACATCGAGAAGTAACGACCGATACGCGCGATAGACGTACTAATTATTCTAAGAAAAAACTGCCAACACAACCGCCGCGTGACCCAGATAAAAGGATAGCACCAGGGAGGATACGCCAGGCGAAGCTTTTGTCTGCCTTTGCAGAACTCGAGAAGTCGGCTCATCAGCGTGTCTATTCTCGGAGAATGGAACATCTCGAGAACCTAGTTAGCCAAGACGGCTTGTCCTCTTCAACATAACAGAGACAAATTAGACTTTTTTCAGGGAGGGAAAGGGACGAGTTATATCGCGTCCCTTGCGAGGATTACACGCCATATCCACTGCACGCGGGTTACGAATTTTGCGATTCGAAGCCTCCCGTCCATGTTCGGTGTCGGCGCCTAAATACCCTCCAATCAGAGTCACGAAACAACACGTTAATTCTGTGATTTTCTAAGGTGAACTTACAAGGAGCCGCGAGCGATTAATATTTGAAAAAACGGAAAGTTTATTACAATTTAGATTTATATCGAGAAAATTCGAAGCAATTCTCAGGTGTATTCCTTCGCCTGTTACCATTTCTGAGATTTTTAACAGAATTTCACACAGTTTACATAGAAAGATACATCGCTATTCAAATAATAGATGAGTAGATGATTCAAATTTTCAACGTTCCAGTCACTTTAAATTTAAATACGTAAAAAGTTCGAACAGTGGAATACTTGGACATCGCTGATTCAGAAAATAGAGATTCCTTTGTAATTCCGTGTAATCTTGATAATCCTTTGTTTTCGCGCCGCAAGCGATTAACCGAAGGGTAATTTATATTATCAGCACAGAGAAGCTCTGTTTACTCTAAAAGGGCCGATTAACGATCCTTTGTCGAGCAAGTAGTTTTTATTTGCCACGCTCAAGTCCCTGAAAATCATTTCACCGCGACAAAATATGGAATTGGCATTTATTGTAAGCGTTATTTACTTTCTATTCGATTCGAAACTTTATTCCCGGATGTCCAGGCTCGAATTAAAAATATGAAGAAGTATCAAAGGTTACGTAAAGATACATTCAGGGAATTTTGAAAAGGTAACTAGTGCAAATATCGCGTAACTAAATACTGTTTAAATATCGTTCGTGTGAATGTTTGTTTATATGTATCATCATCATCCGTAAATACGTTATCGCATATAATTAGTCGTATGTGTCAGGAAATATGATTATCTGTGTATAAGTATAGCGAAAGGCTCTGTTCGATGGTAAATTGTAGTAAAATGCCAACAGCATGTCGCCAATATGTAAATAACTCTACAGCTCCAAAGTTAGACTTTGGTTTCCGTTGCGTATAGTAATTCATCTATCTTAACACCTCATTCCAGCATTTATTAACTGTAATTCTTTTATCCATTTACAGTTTCCCTTATTAACTACGACAGTTTCCAATCAGCAGGTAGGTCATCAACGCAACGCGTAGAAAGTCGTTCGCTCTTAGAGCCTAGAAATTCAACTACCCTTCCGGCAATCGTTTCGCTACCTTCTTAGTCTTTTCATTTCATTCTAGATCCTTTTAATAGTATGCTATTCGAAAAGAATAGCGCGAATATCGGATATCAATAACGCTTTGTTCATATTTCTTTAATTCCTTTTCAATACTCTTTAAATTTCTAATTTGCCAGGTAATCCGTCTGTCGTCTCATTGTTTCTCCATTTAGTCGCAATATTTCCAGGAATCGAGTCTCCATTAGGTCGTTACCCCATGAATAATGCAATATTTCCGAGGATCGTGCAGCGATGCAATGAAACTGACCGCGATCCACGCCTATCCATTCGGAATTTATACCAGCGATAATGAAAACTTTCTTTCAACCTCGAGTACACAATATTTACGAGTGTAAATCTAACATTTGTTTATCGCAAGAAGAATCGTGGAGTTTCTTCATCGACAGACTCGCGTAAATGGAACTCTTTCCGTATAGTATTTTTAACGCGACGGCTGCCAAGTTAAAACTTGTGAAAATCATTACAAAGTTAAAATTATGTCTCGAGACTATTGAAGATTAGATAAGTTAACATTATCGTAGCATAGAATTGTTTAACGTCGTCAAATTCACAAATCCTATCCAGATTTATTTTCATTATTGCCTCGCATTTGTAATTAATTTTTTTAATTACTTAACGAAAAGTTCTGTCACCCACTTCTGGGCGACGTGGCGACCAACGTTTTAATTAAAGTTTCATCACTAAAAATTCACATTAATCGTAGGGTATAAACGGAGAGTTATATAACTATATGCCAGGTCAACGAATTAAATGGAATCTTTCGCGTGAAAAATGTGAAGCGCGATGATAGACGTGTCGGTCCAATAAAAAAGGAAAATACGTTTTTCTCTGTGATTTGCAGAAAATGTGAAGCCCAAGAAGCCTATCGACTTGCCAATTCCGAAGGGTATGGACGACGAACTCGACGAGGACGAAGACGATCTCGATGACGAGGACGACCTTGACGCCGATACGGACGACGAAGATGATTCTGACGCAGACCCCGAGGACGTCCTCAGCGATCAGCCCGACGACGAAGAGAGCGACGAGGAGTACCTCGACGATTACGACACCACGACAAGGTATACTAATCACCGATTAATTATTAGTCCGTCTCGAAGTCTCGTGTTACTCGAGATAATACCTAAAATATTTATTATGAGCGACCAGCATTTCTCGGTATCGGCTACTACCGATAGCATAAAATTAAAATAAACGCATAAAAATTCGCAGTCTAATTACGGATGTTTGCTAAAGGGGTTAACATTTAATTTAAAATTGGTTGTTAAATCTTTAGAATGATTCCTTCTCAGTTTCACGCGGCACCTAGTAATTCGTAACGTTTGATGACGCAAGGTGTGTTTAATTTTGTTCAGTCGATTATCAACTACAATCTCAACGACGGAAAAACCTAAACAGGACGTAACTGCGATGCCATTGCCGGTTAGCACCAGCACGCAGCAGTCACCACAGTCGCAGAGCACACCGGATCCTTATCTGACGCACTTTGATCCCCGTTCCGAGCATCAGAGCTACAAACAAGCACAAATGAGGCTCGAGGAGGTGCACAAGGAGAAAGTGACAAAAGTAAGTGGGTAGTATTATCTAGCTCCCAAGGAACATCAAACAATTGTTACACGCCGATCTTGATGAAACTTTTGGTACACGGGTATTAAAAAGTAATATGACACGTATTTTTTATTACATCGAAATTGTATTAAACAAGTATTCGCAACTTTCAGGGTAGTTTTCACCCCTTGAATATTGGACAATAAATAGGATATATAATTAGGATATAAACAAAAAAGTACGCATGTAATATTTTTCAATTCTCTACCTGTGTACCAAATTTTTCTCAAAATCGTCGTGTAACGGACTCCATGTCTGTTTCATTTGCATTTTATTAAGCCATTCTATGAATGCGTGAGTATACTTGGTAGAACGCTCTATGAAAAAAACTTAGTGTTTTCTATAAAACGTGAATCGTGTTTCAAGAGACAGTTAACATCGCGCGGGATACCAGTGTCGAAATCTTTGTGCTACAACGTTTTCAGGTGATGAAGGATTGGAGTGATCTCGAGGAGAAGTATCAAGACATCCGTGCACACGATCCCGTTGCTGCTGACGCTTTCAAGCGATGGATGACGGTGCGATTCCAGGAGACTGTCGCCGCCCTGGAGGAAAGCGGTGCCGCAGAAAAACATCAGTTGAGTGCTATGCATCAACAGAGAGTGCAAGTATGTGATCCGATGGAATAAAATTGAGCAAAATAAGCAAACTTGTGGTCAGCGGTGAATGTACCAGTGCGATAGTTATTTATGAGTACGTAGCAGTGGTCGACGATATTCCTAATCCTGGGGACAGATATTTGAAAGTTGAAGTTGTTTACGACAGTGAAAATGTTGAAAGCTTAAGTTGTTCGCGAAGCGATGGTAAAGTTGAAACTATCTAAGAAGGAATGTTACGGTTGAATTTATTTATGAAAGTGAGAATGTTAAGAGAATAAAAGAGAAATTGCTACAGAAATAAACAACCGTTTTTCGTGAATATGGCCGTGATCACGACTCGATCTGTGGGTCGTAGGTTGCAGACCACTGGTATAAAGTTTACATGGTGAAGTACAATGTCTACCGTTGTCAATTTACAGGAGGCCGTCAAACAGAGGAACGAGGAAGCGATGTCGTGCTATACTGCTGCTCTGAATGAGAATCCTCCAAATGTACGTTATCCGAGCAAGCAAATATTTTAATTGCTATTTCATATACAGCATCCGATTTACGACTGTATAACGTATCGCGTCGTTACGTTTCCATTTAGATGCATCGCATTCAGAAGTGTCTGCAGAAGCTTCTCCGCGCTCTTCACAAAGACAGGCACCACACGATCGCTCGTTACAAACACTTGCTGGACAGCAGCTTGGAACAAGCCCAACGCGAGAAGCCAGCAACGTTGGAACACTTGGCGGAGATCGATAGAATCACCAACCAAAGCCTTTTGATGCTAGAACGGTAATATGCCGCCTAATACAGCGCAACGTCGATCGCAGAATTCGAAGCTGTAGACCTTGAAATTTCGAGCAGATCACGTTTTCTTCATTTATTTTTTTTTTTTGTTACATACAGAACAGTATTCATGGAAGATTTCGTTCCTTATATTTAGGTATCCTGATTTAAGCGCAAAAATTGGCCGGCTTATGGATGATTACGTTTTGGCCCTCAGGAGCAAAGATGAGACTCCTGGACTACTGCTCGCGATGACACGAGAAGCGGAAGCAGCTATTTTAGACAAATATCAGGCTGACGTCACCAGCAAACAGCAAGGTAACCTAGGAATTCGATACTATTTTACGAACGATATTTTTTATTAAAAGGTAACAAAACTAAGCAGCTTTAAAAAACGAACATTTTATTTTTAGAAAAAGAGCATCAGAAGCAACTCGAAAGAGCGCGTAAGGAGCAACGCAAAGCGGAACGCGGCGAATTACGTACCGAACAAGCGCAACAGGAAGAGAATGACTCGATAAACGACAACAAAGAACCTCAACAGCAACCAGAACAACCCTCGGCAGTAGCCGCTATGCACAGTGAGGGACTCGTTAGAGCAGCTCACAGCATGACTCATGATATTTCCCATTCCGAGCCGGTAAGGATAGCGAAAAATCCACTCAAAAATGATTCTCACGGAATAAATGTATTCGCGAATGTTTCTGTTCTCACCCCCTACTATACTCGCAGGGTTACTCGTTGAGAAGGGAAGCCTATCACAGGGAGAGTCGATCCGTCTATTTCACACTTGCGTTTGCTGGAATTGCACTTATGGCTGCTGCGGTAGTTGGCGTAGCAGTATTCAAGAGGCGCAGTGCGAGAAGCCCTCATAGTCAGGTACATCGTGGAGTAATATAAAATGCATGGAGTTTTTTTTTTTTTTTACTAATTGCAAATCACTTCAGGGTTTCATCGAGGTTGATCAAGCAGCTACACCGGAGGAGCGACACGTTGCAAACATGCAAATCAACGGATATGAAAATCCTACATACAAATACTTCGAGGTCAAAGAATAATCGAGTCACCTCGGTCTACAGAGTTTTATTTGAAACTGGTCTTAATTGTCCGTTCTCGCGTATGTCCTTCAAGAATCTCATAGTATTTTGTTAGTGTAAGATATCTTTCAGGTTCGAGGTTCTTCCGAAGATTCAAAGGTACTTATATAAATTTACATCTTAGTGATACGTGGAATAAAATCTGTCCATAGGGAGATAGGTATTGCAATACGGTATCATTAAGCGACGTCTCTTTATATAGCTCGCGACGTAATACAACCATACTTTATGCTCTATGATATGTATAAAGCAATGTTCATACTACATCTGATAGATAGAAACGATACGAGTTTTTACCCTACGAATACTACTCGTAACACCGTGATTATCTACGAGACAATGTGAAAGGGAAACAACACGCCAATGTGCCATATGGGAAACACGCAAAAATCGTCTTCGGAAGTATCTCATACACGTTGTTTTCGTTTCGTTGTCATACATGTTATTGAAAAGAAAAAGAAAAATAAGAAAAAACGCAGGAAGGAGCGCTCACAATAAGAAAAAAAAATATTAATAAAAAAAATCGTTACACGCTAACGTTACGCGATAATAACCTTCGGATCGGAAGGCTGTGGACTATGATCAGTTATAAATTCGTTGCTTCCGGCAGCAAAAAAAAAAAAAAAATGCGAATGCTTTCGAGAGAAACGTGTATGTCTCGTCAGCGACGCGTTCGATTAATGTGTGTGCTGTTGCGCTCTTTGCTGTATTTTTGTGTTCTAATATTTTTGGAGATAGTCAATGGCAATAAAGGTTACACAGCTTGAATAATACATGAAACGAAAAACACGATAGCAGCTGTAGCAGCAGAAAGGTATAATCCGACAAAGAAAAAAAAACCAAAAAGAAAAAAAAATGAAACCATATTACTAAGCACTACGCGAAACAACGTATATATATGCTGAAAACGCTCTTAAAATATCAGAACTGCAGTCAATGCACGTTCACCTTCGCGATGCAGCTGTTTTTCATCTCCGTTCGATTCCCACTGCCTGATTTTTTCAGCGACCTTTCAGTACTTAACGTCTACTTAGATTATACAACTTTATACTTAAGAAATTGAAAAAAAAAAAAATCGTGAACGTATCTAAGGTTAACGAAGAAGCAAGATATTTTATCATTCCATAAGAAAGTCCACTATCTTATCGAGGTGCTGTCCGAATGTATGAACGGAAAATATTCAGTAGCCTTGTTCGACTTGGCCGAGACGCCGTTCGTTTTAGAAACAAACGTATCGAAAAAAGTCACGCCGAGGCTGCCGAATAAGAGGAACAGTTAACAGGAGTTTTTTTGTGTGGCATTAGTACCTTCGATTTAGGTCGAATAAGTGGCGACTGTTGAAGCAAGCATTTACGTCCTCTTCTTTTTTCTCTCTCTCTTTTCTTTCGTTTCTGTATCATTTTCGTCTTTTTGTCGTTTACGTTTACTTTTTTTTTTTTTATCGAAAGATGGTTCATACAATAACTATCTTAGGATATTAATTATATATGATGACGATAATATATTACACGTTTAATGCTTATATATTTGTATATGGTCAAATGATAGTAGGCCGCACTTTAGCCAGGGTCGCGTGGGAAAGCACAGCTTTCACTTATTTTTCAATGAATATTGCACGATTCCATTAGACTGTATACAATTTATATCGAATCGACGGTATCGTGTACCCAGCTTGACAAGCGTCGTGTACGATTACAAACAATTTTAGCCGCGCAAGTATTAAGTTGATTAACGATTTAAGATGCTTTTCATTCTTATGGTTACGCGTAAGATTGCTCATCGTTTGTGAAAGTTGTACTCTCTACTAACCTATTAAGGTTACTTTGTTTTAATGCTAATTTTTTGCTAAAATAAATCAAGCGAATGCGCAAACCGAGGACAGTCAATATCCTTGGATTCCTAAGCGCACGTGAAGCAGCTGCCTTCCTGTTTAGCAAACATCACGACTGTTTGTCTCACGCAACTCCGGTGGAAGGATGAGCCGACGGAACACGCACAGGCACACACATTCGCGCATCGCTGAGTGTTAAAAATATTATTTTAGATATATTAAAAGAAAAAAAAAATGATAGCAATTAACTATATGTCTATGAATACAACAAAAGCATAGCATCAATGCGTTAATAATAATAATGATAATATAAATATCTATATATAAATATATATGTTCGTGTACGCGTGTGTGTGTGCGTGTGTAATATATGAACAATATACATATACATATACATGTACACCTATCAAATTAACTATACATTATGTACCTATAGCATATAGTCGTTGAAATGAGAAAAACATTAACATGTCGCGTATAAATCGGACTTGACACGGATTCACAGATGTTGAGGTCACTCTCGAAACTAGGAAAACGTTTCTTTCTTTCGGCGCGATGTCGTTCCGGTCTTTTTTAGTTCCTACCTATCGTAAAAAAAAAAAGAACAAAAGAGCAAAAGAACACAAAAATCGTATGCGAGCATACATGGTAATTGGCCTATGTTTGGCGGACGTGGTGTTCGTCATACGTTATATTCGTCGAATGGAACATAACGAGAACAGCGCCCGTAATAGTGCTTGCCTCAGATATGAGCAAAATTTATAATAAAAAAAAAAAAGCAAAGTAACGTAATCTATCAGCGACGTTTATTGCGTAGTCATACAGATCGATATCTAGTCTCTCGGCATGAAATGTAATATTCTAATTTTCCATTAACCCTGTATCGCAATCGATTAATAGATCTTTAAGTTCGATCGTTGATCCCTCTTTCTGAAAGGTAAAACGAAAATGTATCCATCGTAGGCTTCACGACGAACGGACAAAGATATTGTTCGTCTTTTATTCGTTACTCGAGAAATTTTCATTTAGATAAGAATTTTGCCTATCTCTGGCAAGGCATCACGAACTCCATCGATCTCGCGCTCGCATGATCCGCGAGATCTAGCGTTGGCGAGGAACACGTAAGCGCATGTATTTAACATAACCCCCATGATTACCGTCGACGTAAACATAATCTTCGCGAGAAATCGAAGAACGCTGCTTACTTCGACGACTATTCTGGGAAACCCAACGGTTGTAATCAGTATTAACGCGAAACGCCCCCCTCCTCCTCCCCCGCCCCCCTACCTCTTCGAAGCATATCAGTTTTAGTCAGTCTTAACTTCAAGATGCTGTGAATTTGCGTCGAGCCACCCTGTATAAGTTTAAGAATTGATTTTTGTAAAGAGGTAATAAATATTTACCGAGGTAATTAACTTAGCTTAAAGGAAGAAGAAGAAAGAAAAAAAAAAAGACACGCGAGAAGCCAGGAAACGGAAGAAAGGAACAAAAAATAAGAAAATAAATACGTCCTTTGCATAAGCGGTTTGGGATTTAGAAGTTGGCGAATGGGAATAATAACGGAACTAAACTTTATTTTTACAGTTCTCTCGGTATTTACAGCGACTGAAAAATATATATCCGTACGCTGCGAGAGGTAGTCCGTATTAAATGGCGATAATACGTGTACGAGCATAGTACATTAATAAACGAAATGTGTCGAAACTTACATTAGCGAATTAACGTAACTTTCGTGTATGTATTTTAGCGAAGATCAAGTGATCGATTAGGATACATAGACAGAATTCATGAGCAGATACAAGCGTCAAAGAGATAAAAGTATTCGCGTAGTATCTTTTTTTATATATATATATATATTAATGGACTTTATCACGTACCATGGCTTACAATCACTTGAGCATCGATATGACTAGAGTATTTTTCACGTTTTTCGTAACTATACTTTCCCATGTATTCTATTCTACAGGGTGTCCCAAAAATGTTGTTGTAACACCTTGAAAGAGGTTGGGATTTTTGGGAAACCCTGTATATATTGCAACGAGTTATCGAATCTAAACGAAGTTTATGTTAACGCAGTAAGTCACGACGCATCTGATCGTTAAACAATGCTCTGTACGCGAAGAATATCGCCATTCGACGCAGAATTCTTCGCGGTGTACGAGCGTATCTTTTTTCGGACACTGTACATCGATTCTTATGATTCTATCGATTCCACGTCTTTGACGAACGTTGAGCGCAGCCACTGAACTATACCGTATAGTCGTGTAGGTCACTCGCACGCCACCGATGAAACGCGAGAGTGTGCCCCAAAAAATTTTGTGTGCAATATATTGGCATTGGTGTATGTAAGCCTACACATCGCTGTATAATTATATAGTTGTCGATCTTGTACGCCCAAGCGCTCGTCGTGGTCTTTAGACAAAGCGGTTTTAATGCGAAATCAAAGTTCTGTCCGACGTCGGCGACGATTGTTCTAGTCAATAATTACTCGATGTTAGTCATTTTTATCTGTCGGATTTACTTTCGGCTCTGGGATTGATCGGTTTTAGTCGGCGTCTGCGTTTGATAAAAAATTTGACATTTTACAAATAACGATCGGTTAATCGAAGAAAAACAAACACGACGGAAATCGAAATGCAGCTTGGATCGTAAAGGAAGGCGGGGCGGCGCCCCCCCCCCCCCCCCGGCGATGTGATGAATGCATATATGGACTATTCGGTTGTTTTGAATCCGTAGGATTGGTTGAATCACGCGTTTCGCTATAGAACGCTTCTGCGATCGTTCTTCGACGTGTAGAAAAAAAGAGTTACTTAAAATCGGAGGATAAAACCTAACCAGCTCCCCCGTATCCCTCTTTCTCCATCACGAAGTATTTCTCCTCGCCACTCACAAATTTTATCACATTATTACACTCCGTGAAAGAACGTATATTGTGTTTGTGGATATATGTAATTTTACTTATCAATAAAGAAATTACAAAGGTCCGCTTGCGTACAGTGACTTCTCATCGTGCTCGCGGAGCAGACGTCATTGTGCGCTGATCGGCGTCGAACTTTTTACGTATTCGCTGATTTCTTACGGGAGCAATGTAATTACTTAATTTTTACGAGATATTACGAATTTATTGTAAAATTGGCTTAATTTACGAGTGTTTCTCGTTAATGTCGAATCGGTGAATTGGAAGAGCGAGGCCTCTGGACTCTGGGCTATTGCTCTCGCAATCAGTGCGATAAGAAACTTCACTTTCGCTCGTGCAAAATTCTCCCTCTATACTTTTAATTATTCATTAATGAAAATTAAAATCCGGTGTACTGCTTTGTCCGTAGCAAGAGCGAGGCTTCAGGGTGTTCTGGTAAGAGAAACGAACGAAACAGTGAGTCAACAAAGCATTTTAGAATTCTTCTATTTGGAAGTACGTATTAGGTTGTCCGAAAAGTTTCTTTCGCTTTATTAATAAGTAATACATGCACAATAGCTTATGTTTTATGTTACATTATTGAATCGTGCACAATTCAGTAATGTAACATAAAACATAAATTTTTTTTTTTTTTTATATTAAAGTTTCGAGTCGCATTAACAACTCTGGTCATGAGCGACTTTATACATTTACATTTAACATCATGTATAATTTTATGTTGTGCTGCTCGATGGGACTACAGTGTGTTTATTTACATGTACAAACTTATGTTATCTGTGATTTTACAATTTGTTATAGATTTTCGTTTCTTTTAGGAATACAATCAAGTTTTTGATATTGTCCCGAGAGTTCATTATTTCATTTATATTGTTTTGAATCTTGTGCATGTATTACTTATTAATAAAGCGAAAGAAACTTTCGGGACAACCTAGTATTTCCAAATAAGAGAATTTAAAAGTTCTCTCCTAAATTTTCAATCGAGCAAATAATTTTAATTATCCGCTAACGAAAGTTAAAACTCCGTTATGAAAGAATTGTTGTTGAGAAAATGTTTGTTTCACAGTGGAATCGACGTTCAAACAAAACAACAGTTACGAACGCAAAGTGAAACTAATTTGCAACGAGGGCACGTTTCCGTATAACGTTACTTTGTTTCTCCGTGAGTCATAAACAGATGGTGTTTACATGCGACCGAAAAATGTGTAAGCATACGCAAATCGATGATAAAATTTCTAATAAGAGATACACTTCCTTCTAACGATAGTTCAGTTATGTCCTCGCTATTGACATCATTAAACGCGATTATGGAATTTTGATTGTCGTTACTTTTCGTTAGTCTGACGTGATGTAATTCGTAATATTTGTATTTCGTTACTCTTTTAACGATAACCGCGAACAGTAAAACATTGAAGTACACTCGTATCTGGTAAGTATTTTTATTGATATCGATAATAAAATTGTTTATTTCATTAACATACTCCCTCGCCCCCCCCTCTCTCTCTCTCTCTCTCTCTCTCTCTCTCTAATTGATATTGTTATCGTTGTAATTGGTATTACTATCAATTAAATGCCAGAGTTTGTAAGCATTTGAGAGATTGACTGTAATCGACTTTAGTAAGTCATTGTACCATAAAAATTAACTGGCATGTAACAGGAAAATGTCTCGTTTAAAATACTGTGTATATACATATAGTTTTACGTATCTGAACGTATAAAATTTCTATCTGATTTTATTGGAAATTTACGTCAAGGCTATACTTTAAATAGTTTGAGGTAATTCGTTACAGTTCGTTACTCGAAAACACGGGAATGTCGATAACATTTAATTTGTAAATAGCGCGTGGGTATTGTTAGAAAAGATAACGATATCGATCGGAATAACAATATGGCGACTACGATAGATCCGTAAGAAATGTCAAACGGAAAATAAAAATTGACGGACAATGACGACAACGATTTATACGAGAATCTTGTTATTAACGAGCATGATGTAGCCTAAATACCTAAAGTGACAGTTATGAATCGTTTGGAAGTGAAGTGTATATCGCAAATTTGTTAACCTTATTCGCACTAACTAGCATCATGAACTTTAAAGGTAATTGATACTGTTTACAAGCCACGAATACATCCTTTTTATCGATTATATCGATGATAGATCAGATGTCCATTAGTAACAACAATATCCACGATGCCAGTCCAGTCTGTTTTCAAATGTCAATATGATAAACAACTCTTGTTTTTGTCCACTAGTGATATCATAATTTAATGTTACAGATTCTACAGTCATCCTCAATTGTAAAATAGCTAGTTAAAAATTTACTATTAAACGGTTAAACGAGATACGGTTCAGATGTCTTTCAATGATGACTTTGATAAACCGTTTGAGAACTGTGAACCCCTTCAATGGGGAGCATTACGGGAATTATGCAATGCTAACGCAGAATACTTTATGTCTCATCAAGACGAAAATGCTGTTAGAATTAGAGCTGCGCTATTGGCGATGTTGGATCACTTAAAGCGATTACTACCGCTATATAAAGAAATTAATAGGATCGCGTCGATGTTTGACTTTAATGCAGAAACTCCTGGTAATGGATATAGAAGTTTTCTAGTCTTGGTAGATAAATGTATCATACACTCGCGTGCAATCTGTCATCAAATATATTGTCAAAAGGACTCTATATTTTTTCGCAAAAGCTCTCATGCAAGGTAATTATTATATTTCTATCTGTTTCATAAATCGTTAAATATTTTAATCGACGTTGAATATTTTTATATTGACATACGCAAATATTTTTAGGGAAATAGAAGCTTGTTTGCAATTGATAGCGTCCTTGTGCACTTGCTTGGAGCACTTGAAAACCCTGTATTCGTGGAGCGAGGAAACAAACGATGGAAAACCGTCTCTTTTTATAAATCATGAACATAATCTCCATGAAATTTTACATGAAGTAGATAGTATTAATCAGTATTGTTTTTATGGAAGATGTTTAGGATTTCAGGTATTTATAAAAACAATTACTTGTGATCTTACATAACTTTAAATAATTTTTAACCACAATTACTAATTTTAGTTTCACGACAACTTAAAACCTATTTTAAAAACTATTTTGGTTTGTATGGCTACATTTAGCGAAGCATTTTATGCTAATGGAACATTGTTGGCACGATGTACTAATTCCGTCAAATACATGTTAGACCCTGAGACAAGGGCACGCCGTTTCGTAGACGTGTCACGACGTGCCGATATATCTTTCTGTCAAGCCTTTTGGTTTCTTAACGAGACTGGTAAGTTACTCTGACATCTACCGATAACAACAAATACTTTTAATCATTAAGCACTACATTCTATCGCTATGTTGATGTATCCTATAAATTGTATTTGTTAGATATTGTACGCAAATTACCATCTATAACATCACCATCGTTGGTAATAAATCAAATAATTTCTATTCCGCCCGAAGAATTGATGCTTTCCGCGTTAGATGGGACAACAGTGTCAATTCCAATACCCAATAGTCATATTGGGAAGAAGCCTATACATGTTAGATTACTAAGCTCCAAACGCCGTCTGGGAATGGTAAGCAAATAATGAATTTATTAAAATTAATCACTTGTTATACGTTTTCTCGTCTAACAATAAGTAATTATTTAAAGGTTCCTTGGAATAATGTCCAACTATCGTTGATATAGGCTACATTTTCAAACATTGTTTCCATCCCTGTATTTCTTTTATTTAAATAGAAATTTTTGTGAAACATCGGTTTCACTCCTGTGCAATACATGCTTTTCTCAGGTTGGTTCAGGTGGAGTAGGAGGAGAGCTGCTCGGATTGTCAAATGAACTGATAATTCATTGTCACGGTGGAGGTTTCGTAGCGCAAACTTCGCTATCTCATGAAACATACTTAATCTCCTGGGCTACAAGCCTCGGTATACCCATTTTAAGCATCGATTACAGTTTAGCTCCTGAAGCTCCATTCCCCCGTGCATTGGAAGAAGTGTTGTACGCATATGCATGGGCTTTAAATCATGCGAGTACTTTACTTGGGAGTACAATACAAAAGATACTTCTTGTGGGTAAGACGTGACGCATAGCTTTACTTTTTTGTTGTGTCGATTTTATAATATATACGTATGTATTGGTAAATATAACATTCTTCTCCAGGTGATTCTGCTGGGGCTAACTTAAATTTGGGAGTTACTTTGAAGTGCATACAAATGAATATCAGGAAACCAGATGGAATATTTATGGCGTACTCACCAGTACTTGTCGATTTTGTATTGTCACCGTCACGATTACTTTGTCTCACAGATCCATTACTACCCATGGGATTCCTTATACGTTGCTTAAAAGCATATGCAGCTTCTTCGGATAACAAAAAATCTTCGAGGTAAATCTCAGAAACTCTATCTGTGACTTTGTTAAGTTTTAAACGAGATTTTACATTTATTGGGTTTTCAGAGAGAAAGAAACTGATGTCGCTGAATGTATGAAATCAGATACAGAATCTTTTGCGGAAGTAAGCGAGAGCGACTTAATAGCATTAGCTCTCAGTCCTAATGGGGATGAAACAAACGATGCACATAAATTGGCGTCGTTGCCATCCGATACTACGTTAAATTCTGTTAGTCTAACAGAAGCCGATGGTAAGGAATGGATATGAACAAATGTTTAATTATTTAATTCTGATTAATTTATTAATAACATTGTTTAACATAATAGGAACGGAACATCCTGTGGAACAAGGAAAATCTCAAGAGTATATTAACAGATTTTTAGAATTATATCGAAATTCTGGTACAAATGCTGCGGCGTATATTGGAAGCGATACTGTTAGCATGGACAATAATATTTCAGGAAATGGCAAATCTTGGTCATTGTTTGGTTGGTCTCTTAGAGGAAGACACAAACAGTCCAGAGAGCTCGACATAGAAACTGTGAAAAGTCCTTTGGAAGAATTTACATTTACCGTGCCCAAGGATCCATTTATAAGTCCTTATCTCGCACCAGATAATCTCTTATCACAATTACCACCTGTTAAAATGCTGGTAAAATCTCGAATCTTTAACTTCATACACAGAATAACATTCTGTTTTTTGCAAGCTACCAATACTGAACATAAAATACTGAATACCAAAATTTTACTTTAGACAATGGAGCTCGATCCGTGCCTCGATGATTCTGTCATGTTTGCAAGAAAACTTCAATTGCTTGGTGTACTAGTCACGCTTGATATATTACCCGGTTTACCGCACGGATTTCTTAACTTATCACCGGTAAGAAAATCTCTCTTAGCAAATGAGTGTTATAAGAATGTATTATATCATGTTGAATTGCACGATTTTAATTTACAGATGTCAAAAGAAGCTAGTGAAGGATCAGATATATGTGTCAAGAAAATAAAAGAGCTACTAGCATTATAATTATATGCATATAGCAAATATTTATTAAAGCATAAATGTTAAATATGTGGGAACAAAAAAGTTTCTTTGCTGCTGTTTATGTTTAGATATAATTTATAATTACTTTTTTTAAATGGAGATTAACTGCGACAACTTGAAATATTAAAAAGTTTTATTTAAAGTTAATCGTTACGCTACGTTTACACCAAGTTTATTGAATTTAATCACATGTTCCGTAATGATATTTTATACAATGTATTTAATGTTATATTTCTTCGTCCGTAACAACAGTTGTTTTTATAATAAATTCAATTAAATGTAAAAAAAATTCTTAAACAGATCAAATGTACAAACAATTATGCTTACAAAATATAATAATTAAATTTATTATTTAATTTGAATTGTCGCCAATTTAACATAGGCAAACGGACAAGACACCTCTGCGCCAACGATGTAGCAACCGGGCCTACAAACTGGTTAACACCGGTTGATATCTAACAGGGGCATACTCGCGCCTACTTGATGACAACACATTTTGCTGTGGTATTAATGTTTTCACGAATTATTTTTTCGATGAATCCAACGAGCCTTCGAATCAACCTGTCACGACATGTCACGCGGTTGTTGTTCGCCCTTGCCCCACTCTTCTTCGATAGCGAGCCCCGACTCGCAAACTTTGTTTTCATTGATTTTCACGGTTTCGTACTTAATATTAAGCTCGTTGCTCTACGTAGAGTATGCATCAACGTATGCATACTCTATGTAGAGGGAGATCGAAGGAACTTTGATTCCTTCTATCTCCGGGTCTCCAGTCGCAGCAACCTCCACGTGGTGAGACCTGGTAATCGGTATTATTCGTGACGAACAATCATTCGTCGCGAGTAATAGCGAGAGCTAATGGCTGTGAACTTGTAATAAGATCTTTAGATATAAAAAGTGCAAAGTGTAAAGTGTAAAATGTAAAGTGAGAATAGATTCAGATTAGGCAGGAATATAATTAGTTTTCAGAAAAATTCATTTGTATAAATTATGTATTAACATTGATATATTTTTATTGCAAAATGGTAGTCAATTTTCACAACAATTTCTATATTTAAACTATAGATCAAACTACGAAATACGTGTTTTCTGAAATGTTGTTTTCTTGCATTACATAAAATTATCCTATTTGTAATGTACTTGCATTTTGTGCGAAATGGAATCATTAAACCCGTATAATCTAAGAATTGTAAAAATTGTATATCGTTTCTAATAAAACAAAGGTGTGTATTATAAGTGTTGATATTCAATTCTTTACATTTCCTTTACACTTCCTGACATTTCCTGACAGCTCCTAATACACACTAACAACTCCTACCACCCTCTAACACCTTCAAACACTCTCTATCGTCTCCAAACACCTCCCAACGCCCCACTAATATCTCTTAACAACTCCTAAGGGCTCCAGACAGTTCCCTTTATTTCTCTTCAATTTGTAGAATGTTTCCTATTAATTTTCCTCCTTTCCCTGACACATCTCTTCGCTCTTCATGAGAATTAAAAGTCATGCCAAATTTTTATTCTGGTATCAGGCGAATATGATATGTCAGGAGGTGGCACGTTTGCGCCTACGGACAGGCAACCGGTCCGACAGATCTGTCAATTCGGGTTGCCTAATTCAAGGGGCCACTTTTCTGTACATTTCGGAATTCTGGCCGATTTTGCATTTTGGTA